TAAAGGGCTTAAAATGTGGGGGGTGGTAGAAATTAGACCATATCAGGCAGTACAGCAGTTAAAAACAAGGACACTAGGATCAGATTATCTTTGCCCATAAACTCAACAAATTTTAATAGAACAGGGTCAAATTTTAGCTGCCCATCACTTCAATGATGGTGGACCACTGGGAAAATTACCTTAACCATTCGTGACTTAGTTTGCTTACCTGTAAAATATGGATAACAAGGGTATCAGTCACATAGGAGTGTGAGAATTAAAAGAGATATATGAGCCTAGCACTTAAATCAACCTCAGTATGTGAGTTTTCATTATGCTTAATACATGATTAAGGATGGGGCTAGAAACAGACAAGTTAGCTAACGATAAGGAAGGGTACACAGGCTTTTGCTTCAGGCAGGGTTGGCTCTGGTGTCCCACACTTTAGTTAATCCCAGCTCTACCACTGTCCAGCTGTGTGGTGAGAGAAAGTTATATAAACTTTTGGGACTCCAGTAATCCCTTAAAATAGCCATATCTCGTAAGATTACAATGAGGATTAAATGAGACACAATATATAATGTGTCTTGTTTGGAACCTATTATGTCAGCAGAAGCTTCACTGCAGTATATAAGGATGAATTACTTTTCCAACAATTTTGTTTGTGAAAGGCTTAACAAAGCTAGGAATAAGCAAAAAGAAAAATTTTTTTAAATGGCAGGAATGTGAACATATGTAGTAAGGATCAGAGGTAAGAGGAAAAGAGGTTAAACAATACACGTAACAGCAAGCAGAACTGCTAGGAAAAGGATTCAGGAGACCAGAGAAAATGGCAACAAAGACCATTTAAATCACAGACTAAGAGGAAAGAAACTTCTTTCTCTAAAATCAAGAGAAAGATACAGGAAATTTAGTGGACGGTAGGAGGAATATGAAGTATAATGGCTCAGTCTAACCTGTAAAAGGTAAGCAAAGCAGTATGAGTTAGGGTAGAAGAAAATTTACTAGGAAAAGGATAAAGACTTGAAACATGTAATTTACATAGAGGAGGAAATGAAGTTTTGAAAGAGCCAACAGCATGAAAAATATCTTTAGAATCAAGGAAATGGAAATAATAAAGGGAAATACTAATCAGTTTGATTTGATCATTACATCCTGAATACATATGCCAAATTAATACACTGCATCCCATAAATATGTACAATTATAAATAAACTTGGGGGAAAGAACAGACTTAAGAGGTGTAGCAGAATTCAGTGCTAAAATGACACAGGAAAAAAGGTATAGTGGAGTTGAGCTCAAAGAAATTCAAAATAATAGTATGATAAATGGGTTTTATGTGTTTTAAATATCTAAAGAGAACACCAAATATTAGAATGAAGGAAGAACTAAAGTATTTCTTAATACTGGAGAGGGTCTAGTGGTCAAGAATGAAAGAGACTGATTATATATATGTGTGTGTGTGTGTGTGTGTGTGTTTATACACACACACACACACACACACATATAAAAATACAGCCTCAGAGGACTCAGCTTCAGAGGAAGATAATTTGGAAGCAGTAAGAGAAACAAAAAAGGTTAATAAGTACTACAGTTTCATTATAAGCTAAAACACCAGCATCTCAGATTATTTAAATCTCTCATGGGATCTCGATTAAGCTTTTCTTTTTATTTATTTATTTATTTATTTATTTATTTTTTGGTTTTTCTCCGGTACCAGGAACCGAACTCACGACCTTGCGCTTGCCAGGCAGGCGCTTTTGCCGCTGAGCTAAATCCCCAGCCCCTCGATTAAGCTTTTCAATAACAAGGCTGAGAGAATTCAGTGAAACTGAAAAACTGTACAGCTACTGTGTGTGTAATACACCACAGAGCTGGGTATGGTGGTGCACACCTATAATCCCAGCATTTGGGAGGCTGAAGCGGGAGGACTGCAAATTTGAAACCAACTTGTGCAACTTGACTTATCAAGACACTGTCTCAAAATAAAAATATTTAAAAAATTTTCAGATTTTTAAATTTAAAAGAATGTGAAGTGTAGAATGTAGCTCAATATGAAGCCCTTGGGTTAAATCACTAATATTAAAAAAAATTTTAAAAAGAACATATTAGATCAAATTTTTAAAAAATAAAAAAGAACAATTCAATAAACGAGGACACAATAGTAGGCAATAGTAATTAAGTCTCCTTACTATGCCCTTGGCATGTTATTTAACCCCAGGGCATCATTTCCTTCGTTTGTAAAGTAAGTGTGCTTTTTTTTTAAGTGGCAAACACCAAATGACATCTTACACAGAATTTCAAAACAAATAAAAAAAAGGTTCCATGTTTCCTCCTAAGATAATTCTGCAGAACACTGAAGCTCCCTAGAGCATAAGTTTTATTTTTCTGAAAGATTTCTAGATCATTTCTAGAATTATTTTACAATTCTAAGAAGATCTATGAATTAATTTGTTCATCCATGTTTTTTTTGCAATGCTGCGAATCAAATCCAGCATTTCACATGTGCTACACATGCACTCTACCACTGAGGAATACCCTCAGCCCTATTCCTTTCTTTAAAAACCTGTTTACTATTTAATTTTCCTCTAAGTACAGGGACTTAGACTATTTTGATCAATCACCATTAGCATGTAGAGTAACAGTTGACACAAAACAAACTCAGTGATTATTAGGCCATGGAGTTCCATTACAGCACAGTATATATTACCTCTGTAAGCCATAACCTTGTAAACAGCACGGCATATACAGTGTAAGATGCTCAATAATACACAAAGAATGAATGGATTAATCTCACAGACGTCGATGGTGTCCATCTTTGAGCTCTAATCAGAAGAACTCCAGATCTACTTACCTAGCCCTGACCTTAAGTTCCATGCCTTAACTGGTAAAAAAAACTAAAGTAGAATCTATCCCCTTCCAATAAGATCTTTTCTAACTTCTGTAGCATTTCTCTGCCGCTTACGTAAAAATTCCTTCTTTTAGGCGCATACACAATTAGTTATTAAAGTATTCTGATTTTTCTTATACTTCCCACAAATTTCTTTTTTTCCTAATCTTACTTTATTTTTGCTTAAATTCTCAGCACTATACAGTTGTAGTATGGGAGCAGCTTCCTGCCGTTTATATCTCTTTCCTTGAATTTATCCTTCACATGACTCCCAAGGTCAATTTTCCTGCTATGTGTGCCCTACTCTCCCTACTATGAACAAGTTTAAAATACTTTAGCCTAGCAAAGTCTTTGGTATCTTTTAAACTAAAATTATCAAAATAAAGCTATGCCTGGAAAATGCAGTAGACCTCTATAGACAGTTTTGAAGTAATTGCTTTTTTAAAAAAAGCCTTTTACTAATCAAATATATATACTGAAAAGCCAATAAAGTTTAAATTCTTTGAGGGAATCTGAAAGAGTTTATGTTGGTCACTGCTGATCTACCACATGGAAATACTTGGAATATAGCAGAAGTCAATAAATATTGTTAATTAAGTAAACGGGCATTTTAATGAATGATACTACACCTGAGAACAAATGCCAGGATCAAAGTAGTGCTTTTTTTTTTTTTTTTTTTTCCGGTACTGGGAATTGAACTCACGACCTTGTGCTTGCCAGGCAGGCGCTGTGCCACTGAGCTAAATCCCCAGCCCCCCAAAGTAGTGTGCTTTAAAGATAAGTCTGATACTTAAATACATGGAGGTTAGTCAGTAGATTATTTCAACAAAAATAGCCAATATTAATTAAGTTCCTACCATTACTGTAAGATTTTACATGTTTTAATCATCACAAGTCTCTTCAAGGCAGACAGTACTAAAGATAAGGAAGCTGGAATACATAAAAGGCTAAGCATTATGTTTACATACAACACTTAAGTGGCAGATACAATTTTGCTAAGAAAAATACAACAATGAAGGTCTGAACTAGGAAGTGTACTTTGAAGATGGAAAAGTTAGAAGAGTATTTTATAAAAGTACAAGTTATAGCCATAACCTCCATTATATTTTCATAGCTTACATGATCAGTAAGCATTATAAACCTTTCACTAATATAATTTCAAAAATGGTCTACATACCATCATTCTGAATACTAAATAGTAAAAATCTTACTGTATTCTTAATTTTTAGACAAAACTGTGATTAAGTTTTAATATTTTCCTGCTATACTCAATAGATAAATCTGAATCTAAAATAGTTACTGCTGGGCTTGGAGGCACGGAAGGAACTGTAATTTTAGCTACATAGGAAGTGAAGGCAGGAGGGTCAAAAGTTTGAAGCCAGCCTTGGGCAACTTAGTGAGACCCTGTCTGAAAACACAATAAAAGAGCTGGGGACATGGCTCAGTGCTCTCTGGGTTTGATCCCCAGTACTGATGGATCAATCAACTGACCAATCAATCAACATCATTTTAGATTTGAATGTACTGTGCCCCTAGTTAAATTTAAGGGAGGTTCTTCAGACAGATTGAATTGTAAGTATTTATATCATTTACTTAAAATTTTTATTTTTTACTAGCATACGTTTGCAATACATAATAATTACATTCATTTTGGGAAATTGGTACATACACATCTTGTAACTGGATCATTCATGAAAGACATGGAGACACATGGCTGAGTGACTGAGTGTAAAAACTTTCAAATGCAGCTTTGATAAGGTAATGTACAAATGGGTGAGATGAACCACTTTAGTGCGTAGGTTGTCTGCTATTAAAATAAATATATTTCAGTATTGAACTCCATTTGGCTGCTGGAGTTTTTGAAACAAATTTATTTTAAAGAGAAAGTTGGATTTTCTGGTTAATATAAACTATACATTTTCAAATTACTACAAATGGAAGCTATTGCACCTATCTGATATTCAGCTGTATCTTAAGGTAGGATTTATCTATAACTCATCAATGAAAAATGTCAAGAATTCCTAAATTCTTTTATTTTTCTTAAGAATAAAACTTAAAAGTCTTCTAAAATGTTAATTAAAGATAAACTGTAAGTCTAATGAAAACTTAAGTAAAAAATTTCTCATCTTACCCTGTCTAGTTCCAGTGTAAACTTCTGGTCCCATGACTGATTGGAAATAGGTTTCCAGCTAGTTTGACCAACCACAGTATTATCTAGCTTCAAAACAGCACAGACGTCATCTGTAATTAAAATTTACAAACTTGCTTAAAAACACAAAGAACACTATTAGGAACAAATTAGGAAAAAGGTTTTTTTTTTTTTTTGAGACAGGGTTTTGCTACGCAGTTCAGGTTGGCCTTGAACTCACTTTGTAGCCCAGACTGGCCTTGAACTTGCAACAATACTCCTGCCTCAGCCTCCCGAGTGCTGGGATTACAGGTGTGTGCCACCACATCCAGCAACAAAAGTCTTAAGACTCTTTGACATAAAATTTTTCATAATAACATTGAAACTTTTCAATCTGGAATGGATATATATCTGTATCTCCATACCCACTAGACCCTCCCAAATAATCCTGATAAAAACACAAATAGTAACTGCTATTTCATATATAAAATATGACTAAAAGGACTAACAGTGACCAGAAGTTTGCCACAATGTGTGTTTTTGTGCATCAGTGTCAATCGTTTAGTTTTCCTCTATCTACACTTGTTATTTATTGAACTCATTGCCTCACAGTTCATGTTTTCCCCAAAGCCTATCTTTATTAACACAGGAAAGTGCAAAAAAGTTCACCTTTATACTCTATGCTAGGTTGAAGTGCCACCTGTCTTTCTTCCCTAGATATACATTTATGCATAGTTCATAATTATAATTCAAAATGTTACAAAATGCTTCTTCAACTGTATTTTACTTTCTCTGGCTCCTATCAAAGTACACTACTGGGTTAATATCCCAGCAAACATTTGGCCCAGTACTCCGTTACCAAAATTTCAATATTAGTTTGGGAGTGTCACTAAACCATTATAAGAATTAAAATGTGATTCTACAAGAACCAAGAGTCTCACAGTCTGTGTATTTTCTGCTTGGCATAAAGAATGATGCTCACTATATAATTCTTTCAAAATAATTTATCATCCAACCTTATATTATCAATAAAGTAAAATCTGTTATCTTTCTATTTTCCATCATTAGAGGTTTAAATATTTTCAAATTAATTACAGAAATTATAATTTAAAAAATTTTTGTCCCACGCGGACATTTTTCATACTTCTTTATCCCCACTGATAATTCCCCCTTAATTTGTTACAGGATCTTAAAAAGTGTGGTTACTGAACTGGACAAGTCATCTGTTTTTAGAAGATTTCGACTACTTCCACTTTTACTTTTACTCGTTCTGCTCATGAAAGATGATCTTGTTTCACTTGGACTCCAGCCAGGCAGTGCAACAGATGTTGCCTTTGACCGTCCAGGGACGTTCTCTAGGATGTCCTGGCAGCCCATAAGACGAACTTCCAAAGTACCTGTTAGCATAAATACATACCAAAAAGAACAGCAAGTTTTAATATATAGAATTGTGTCTCTGATATCTATTCAAAAACAGGAAAGTTAAAAAACCTGCTAAAATGACATAACTTTTCTCCTAGAGGATCTGTGAGGTAACTATCAACTTTCCTATTTTACTCTGAAAACCTCTGGTTAAGACACTATAAGAAATTTTATAGAAAATAGCATGTCCCAAAGCTGCCCATAGGGCACAAAATAAGTTATATAAACTTCTTGTATATCCAAATGCTCATTTCTATAACTAATGCAAGAATTATGGAATTATATGCATAGAATGTAGAGGAGAAAAAAAAGCTAAATAACACACCTACTAAAGTAACATTCAGAAATTAGAAACAAGGAAATCTGAACAACAGCTGTGCTAAAGAGTTACGTAGTTAACACAGAAAAAGGACTTTATAGGGTTTTTTACACAAATAGTTCCTGTTTTATTTGAGCTGTAAAATCACCGTATTATCTTTCTATTCTGACAGGTTAATCAAACAATTATGAAGTACAATTAAAGATAAAATTACTGTACTTTTCTTAGGCAAATGAATACTAAAGGTGTTCAAATTAAAATCGGAATTGTGACTTAGGCCATCTGGCAATATGGTTTTATCATCATTTGAGCTAAACTTACACTAGAATTAAAAACATTTTAGTATTAAAATTTTAGCTACTGCACATGACATAACATTTTAGGAGTATTTCCTAGTAAAGTGGGCCCACTAAATATAAATAATTAAAGTAATTTTCCTTAAAGATTTTAATAAGTGAAAAGTAACTGAAGGAATTAATTTCCAACCAAGTAGTAGTAAAAAAGCTTCCCAATTCAAACAACTAAAAATATCAGACAAAATGTATTTTTAAATGCATTGAAGACATTGGATAATGGGTAATGCAGAGCAATGATCTCCAAGAGACCGGGCATCCTAGATTGCCCTTGCTTACTGCTCTAAGAGTTTCCAAGGTACAGAACAGGGAGGAGAGCTTAGGCACAACCAAGCTGCAGAGACAGTAGTAAGAGCAAAGGAGACTAAGGCAGCTAGAGCTCATAGGAGAAGAAAGAGTAGAAAGAGTTGTCCAAAGACAGAACTTCGGGGCTCTTCAGATTTCTCTCACATCTTCAACAAATTATTAATCAGCATCTGCTTATGAAGGAAGTATATGACACAAGAAAACCACATGAAAAGATCAGAAACAACAATACTAAGTGTACAAGGTAGGAATGGTGTCTGCATGCCCACCAACCAGAATTGAAAATCGCAATTCATGGGGACCTAGAGGAATGCGCTGAAAAGTACTGCTCCAGCAGTAAAGCATAATTACCCCTAATGATGTTGTTGTTACATGTAACTAATCTTACAAGCAATATTTAAAAGGTCAAATTCTATCTAACTAGTTATGTCATAGAAAATGCTTAAGAATATTTACAGAAATAAAAAAAATCAGACATTTTTTCTACTGCTGTATTACAGATTAATACATATTTAGTGGCCTGACACAGAAGTCAAAATTTACAAAAAAGAATATTTAAAATCCTATTATAACAATATTTCATTTGTTCAAAAGTTGAACAGAGACAAGAAAGAAAAAAAGACTCAAACCAAATTTCCAGCCAGGCATGGTAGCACATACCTGTAATCCCAGCACTCGGGAGGCTGAGGCAGGAGGATTGGCATGAGTTCCAGGCCAGTCTGGGCTACACAGTGAGTTCAAGGCCAGCCTGGACTACAGAGTGAGACCCTGTCTCAAAACAAACAAACCCAACAAATGTCCAGAGATAGAAAAGACAATGTCTGAGATTTTTGTTGTTTCTGTCATACTGGAGAGTAAATCTAGTAGGGCCTTCTCACTGAGCTATAGCCCCTGACTATTTTTATTTTTTACTTTGAGACAGGGTCTTGCTAAACTGCTATGGTGCCCAATCTAGGATTGAACTTGCATTCCTCTAACCTCAGGTTCTCAGAGTGCTGTGATTACCACTATGGTTGACTTTTCTGTGATTTCTTAAAAATCTGGTGAACAGATTGGTGGCAGGTTAAATTAAAAAAAAAAAAAAAGTGAAATTGAAGGCACAATAATTCTAAAAATAGAATAAAAGAGTTGAGATAAAAAATTATGCATATATATGACTGCCGGGTGAGGTGGCACACGCCTGTAATCCCAGCACTCAAGAGGATGAGGCAGAATGATCACTGCAAATTGGAGGTCAGCCTGGGATACATAATAAATTCAAGGTTACCCTGAACTACACAGTGAGACCCTGTCTCAAACAAACAAACAAGCTAGGGATATAGCTCAGTGGCATAAGCACCTGCCTGCCAACTGCAAGGTCCTGAGTTTGACTCCTGGTGCCAAAACAAACAAACCAAACAAACAACTAATTCATGTCTAAATGTACTTGAGGTAGCCATATACTGTCTGTACATGTGTATTTAAATTCCTCATGAAAAGGAGACAAGAGGACAAATATATATGGCTAATAATTCTCCAAATTTGGGGAAACTATAGTTCAATGAACATCAAATCCAAGAAACAGAAATAAAGCCAACCATAATTCAATTTCTCAAAACCAGTGATAAACAGAAAACATTAAAAGCAGCACAAGAAAAAGCACCTATATACAGAGAAACAAAGATAAGGATAGAAACAAATTTTTCACTGGAACCAAGGGAAGCAAGACTGCATACTTTAAATATATATAGTTTATTATCTGTCAATTATACTTAAAGAAAACTGCTCTAAAAACTGAGTATTTCTGACAATGGCACAATAATATACACTTAAAAAATATAAAACTGCACACTTAAAATGTGTGATTTCTATGGAATGTAAATTATGCCTCAATAAAGCTAAGGAAGAGGTAAGGAAAGAAGAGGGTGAAATTTCAATCTTTTTCATTTTTTTCAGGCTGTGGAAACTTACTGTAAGATTAAAGACAGATTAAATATAATGGTGTCATTTTTACTTTAGTTCAAAAGAAACAACTTGTTATGTTTGTGTTTTATTTGCTTTCTTGTTGATAGCAAATGGGCAAATTTGCTTATTTCCACAGTAAATGTTCAGCTGTAAAAGTCATCCTGGGGAAACTGGAAACATCTGGCTACTACTTCAAACCCTGGTAGCTTATTAAATATTTTAGTAATTTCAATACATCAGAACGTGACAATGCTTACCACCTGTTTTCATTTAGGAAAAAAAAATCTGCAGGGAGTTAAAATCTTTATTAAACATCTACAAGTTTCTTTCTTTTATGAAGTGACATAATTGCAACTGCATATAACCACATTAGAAATAGCTTAAAACTACATTCTTTACCTTCATAACCCACAATATGAAATTTTTAAAACAAGTAAATCTGAGAAGTAAATGTTTGGATTCATAAGCTACAGCTATGAATCATATTCAAACAAGTAAATGCTTTTTTATTTATTTCAACTATCTGGAAAAAACTATTTTAATAGTTATTGTAGTAATTCAGTATTACATGTTGGTACAATTCAGGAACATTTAATTTTAAAGAAATCTCATAAAAACTAGTCAATTTCTCACAATATAGAACAAAAATGCAATTATTTATCGTATCGAAGTGGCAACAAATTCACAAATTTCACTATACTCATATAACCACAAAAGAAACCCATTGAATGAGACAAACCACAAATTATAGAAAATTTTTCACACGCAGCGAAAAATTCAGAACAGAAAGTACTCTATCAATGCTTATCTTTTATCACGTCTAATCCTTTATAAGTACTTTACCGCTTCTTAGTTACTCCATATTTTACTTATGATCTAATAGCTTACAGAATTTAAAAACTTAAGAATTCTAAGATGCTTTTAGAATGGTGACTCACACATTACTTTGAATAAAGTTCAGCACGGAAATTTAGAGTAGAAGCAAGAACTGAGAAGAAGTGCAAGTTCAAGAATTGAGGGGAGGACCAGACTAGAATAGAAAAACAAAATTCCAGCCATTATCAGCTGAGTTTCTAAAACATGGCTTTACTGCTTTCTAGAAATGTTTCCAAAAATTGTAAATCATATTTTAGTCATTCACAAGTTCTTGAGAACCAACAGTGTTACCAGCACAGAGATGGTAAACTTAGACAATAAGTGGGAATGTAAACAAATACAACCAGCATGGGAATCAATATGGAAATTCCTCAAGACTAAACCTAGAAATTGTATTTGATCCTGTTATTGCCTTCCTTGGTATTTTTGTGAAAAAGTTAAAGACATCATAGTACAGTGATATGTACATACCCACATTTATAGCAGCACAATTCATACAGCTAACTCTTGGATGAAGCCTATATGTCCATCAACAGATGAATGGATAAAGAAAATGTGGTGTTTACACATGATGGAGTACTACTCTGTCATAAAAAAGATCACCCATTTGTTGAAAGATGGATGCACCTTAGGACTGTAATGTCAAGTGAAATCAATCAGACACATACGCTTAAATATCGTATGGTTTCTCTTATGAGAACCCCAAATTATAAAGAGCAAAATAAAAGGTAACAGGGAAGTAAGAAGACAGATTTTTCTTAAACAGGATGATAAACAAGAGATAGAGGCAGGGGAAGAAAAGAAAATTAAGATATTTTAGGTGCAAGTGCTGATGCTGTACGAGGAATGTAAACACTACGTACTGCAGACATGCACTAATAAAAAGTATAAATAGGATATTCCTGCCTAATTATATGTAGCCCGATAATGAAATCTTGTTTTCAGATCTATGTTCAAGAGTGAGACTGACTGACTGAATAATTTATGCATTACTGGGGACTGAAAGCAAAGCCTTCACACTGAGCTAGCTAAATACACATCCTTTTACTCATTTTTTAATTTTGAGACAGTGTCTCACAATGTAGCTACAAGACTGGGCTCAAACTTGGGATCCTGCTACCTCAGCCTCCCAGCCTTCTTTGCACAAGTACAGTCCTTAAATCGAAGGAACTAAGGA